TTGATCCTTGCTCTCATGATTTCCCAAATTGGTATTTTTGGGCGTCTTCAGTTGTCGCTTTGATCTGGAATTTCCGCGTTGTTTCTTTCAATTTCTGGGTTTTTATTTTTTCTCACATAATAATGACATTAATATAGTTGACAGTGACACCATGCATTACTTATAGATCATTTTCTTTACTGTAAGGACCCTTTTGAATTGATTTGGTAAATGTAGTGTAGGCATAAGAACTTTATGGTGTTTTGTTGTGATTCATGAACGATGGAAGGTCTCGTTGCTGTAACACGAAACCCAGCTTTTCGGCTATCCGCTGGCATCTTTCTGAAGTTTGTTTGTGTACTATCTTATGTGGAATTGGGATGGTATGACTTTGAATACTTATCGTACATGAGGAAAGGAAATGTGAAATGTTGGGTTGATTAATTAATAGAGAACAAAAGCATTGATACTATATGATTGTGTAGATTCAGTTATGTTGATTGAGTATTTGTTGGTGCGTTGCAATAAGATGCATTTTTTTCATAATAAGTTGATGTGGTTGTTGTATTTATATGCATCTTCGTTCTGGAGCCCTCCCTGTTTTCCACATCTCCCCTCGCACTACCTAAAGCCGAAACCAAACCCAGCTATGCAGGAATCAAATCGCAGGTCTCCGACACCCACAAAGGTAAAACGCTGAAAAAAAAAAAAAAATCCCCCTCTGTCCTGTCATTCTCATTTTCAGAAGATATGCAGACGGTTCCATGTCTAATGTCTTTGTGGGTTTTCAGGATTGACAAGGATGAACAGAAACGGATATAACAACAGTAAGACCAAATATGAGATCCAACGAAATAAAAAAAAATAGCGGTGTAGAAGCCAAGGCCTACGGATTCAAAAGGAAAAGGTATGAGCCCTGGTTCTGCACTAATATTACTTGGATTAGATGAATTTTTTAGTCTTTGCATCCGTGAATAAAGTCTGTGATCTCTGTGTGATCTCATTCACTGATCCCTAGATCTTGAATTTGTCTAATATGCTCATGGATGTGCTCTGTTTGTTTTCATGTACAAATTGGTGAATGTTGAACAGAATGCCTGCATGTTGGATCTGTGATTTGGGCTTGAACAAAAGTACCTCTGTGCTGCCTGGATCCTCCACCCCCAAACTTAGAATGAAAGGTTAGCAATAGCCTTTTTTTTACTTACTTTCAAAATTATTTTATAAGTAATTTTTGTATCTGTGAATCGCTTGATTCATTGTTGTAATTTTATATATTACATGATCGCAAGGCTCTTGATATCATTAATTGTTGGTTTTGGTACTTGACAATGGAAACCCCATCAGATTTTGGTTTGCATTGGTTTGGGTATTTTTACAGGAACAAATGTTTATTTTTTGTTGTATTTAGATAAGAATTATTAATTAAATTTTTTTTTTTTTGGAAACTAATTATTAATTTATTTATGACATTCAAACTTTCTGAGATTTGAATCTATATTTGGTGGTTTTGTGATTCATGGTTGTATTTCGATTTTTGGATTGTAGGTATGTGAATCCTAAGTTTAGCAATTGGTACAATATAGATTAGGCATTGAAACAGATAAAACTAGTCATGTTTTTTTACATATTGTTGCCTGTATTTTTTTGTTCTTTTGAGAAGTACACAGAAAATGCAGTATTTAGCGAAAAGACGTATGAATATGATACATGTATAACAAAGGTGTGCATAATGGATAGTACAAACATTGCGTAGCTTTAACATGTGTTTGCACTTTCATGGTGTAATTAGATTTCTGTTCCATATTAATTTCATATTTTATATCACATTATGCTTAAAGAATGTTGTGTTAATTAAAATAGGAGAAAACATTTAGGGCTCTAGCGGTTCTGATGATGGTGTTCTGGATGTTCCAGTGGATGTTGAGAAGTTTTAAGTAAAAGAAAAGCCTTATGTGGAAGAGTTAGAATATAATTGCTATACATGGAAGACTTGGACTATAATTACTAGGACAAAATTACAAACAATTTTGTAGTACACCTTGAAGACGAGTTTTCATTCCTTTTTAGCTCTTTGTTATTGGTATATAAATTTTAACTACTATTTTCCCCTCACCCAATATATTATGTTCAGTTCTGGCATTCCCCTCAAAACATCGTTTATGTATCATTTTTATCTTTTTTCTGTGTTCAGCTCACATACCTTACGTATATATTGGAGACTACGATACAGTCAGAGAATCACAGCCTGCATCGCTTACTTCTATTTTGAGATTAAAATCAAAACTCTTATTTGCTCTCACTATGTAATAGTTATCACTAACTTCTATTTTTTCTGTCTTATTGTATTTCCCATGTAGAGAGCTAGAACTAGAAGGACAGTAAAATGCTCGAATAATGGAACAGAATTGCGATTATGCCCGAGATATTTGGTAATCTTTCTGCTTTACCAAAACCAAATCACAATTTGTTTTAACACAAAGAAAGATGCTCTGTTAATCCAGGGATATGGCACCCTCTTTGTTTTTTGGATTGGATTTGGTATATTATTGAATAAGTGTTTTTTTTTTTTTTTGGAGAATTATCAAATAAGTGCTTATGTATGCTGTCTGCAGATGTTACAGTAACAACTGCAAATACAAGTTGAGAGGAAGATCATATTCCTTTTGTGGTGGAGCTAGAGTTCGTTATCGTCTGCGGTAATCTTCAACTCAAGTTGTATGAAAATGCTTGGGTGCTTTTGAAGTGTCGACAATAGAGAACCCTTTCCTTCTTTTAACTTGATTAATCTAATTTTTTTCTATTAAATGATGGAGTAGCCGATCCTAGCCCATTTGAAACTCAAGAAGAGATTGAAATTGGGGAATGCTCACTGAGGCTGGTAAGGAATTGAAATTGGAAATTAGTAAGTGACAACCTTTGTTTGATGTGCAGAGTCATTGGATGGAACTTTTGTTGTAGTATATATAGTTATAAGGTCAAGTGCTCATTGAGGCTTTCTTTTTACCGTAGGTAAGTCAAAGAAAGCTAAGAAATAGGAAAGGAAGGATGGTAATTCATTTGAAACTCAAGAAGAGAATGAAATTGGTGAGATGCTCACTAAGGCTGGTAAGGAATTGAAATTGGAAATTGTGAAGCGACAACTTTTATTTGATCTGAGTGTCGAGTCATTGGATTGCAAGTACTTATTGAGGTTTTCTTTTTACTGTAGTTAAGTCAAAGAACACTAAGACAAAGAAAAAGAAGGATGGTAATTCATTAGAGTTTGTAAGAGTTACTTTTCACTAACAGATTGTCTCGCATCACCTCCTTTTATACTTATGCTACAAGGATTCAGGACTCAATTTTGGATATATGTGCAAGTGCATTTTAGCCACATCACCATCATTCTCAAATTCATATGAAAAACTCATGCAAATTGTATATAACTTGGACTTAGAAATCCGCCCTTTTGGATGTACATAGGATGCAAATTGAAGACTTATTTTACCATGTGAATTCAGCTGTTTTGATTGGTTTATGAATTATTTAGATATGGGTGTGTTGAACTGTGGTTACGATTTCAAAACCCGCAGCGGAGCGCGAACATTTTTTCTAGTCACTTCTAAAAGGAATGAGTTTGGGCAGTTTCTTCTTACTTTTCCGCTTCACTGGTTGTTCACCTTCAGATGATCAGCTAGAACCACTTCTAAAGCCAACAGAATCTTTGTTGTCTGTTTCAACATCTCCAAATCCTAAATCAGGGAAGGGTTCAGTGCTTTCCTATTTCCATTGCATTTTCCACTGGTATTTTTCCCTTTAGTTTTCCCTACATTGTAGTCAAATAAGTTGTCATTGACATCACTTAGTTCATAGTCTGAGTCTCGATAATCTGAATCTTCCGAATTGCCATCGCCATCTATCTCTTTCCTTTTCCACGTTATGTATACCTACCTCAACAAGATTGTCTTGTTCCCGATCTCCTTCATAAGCTTGCTCCAAAAATCCCTCAAATATGCCAAAAGGATTAGACGTGTGAGGAATGTCAAAAGAGTTTGTTGAAGCTTGAATTTCAATGTTTGGGGCTGACATGTGAGGAATGTCAGAAGAGCTTGATGAAGCTTGAATTTCAATGTTAGGGCTGAATTGATCGGTTGGTCATCTCCAACAATTTACACAAGTGCCACTCTATTAAGGGGCAATACAGTAGTTAGAGTCCAAAAATCACTATCAGCAACCATAGGCTTGTAAGTTCTGTCATTTGGCAATGTGTAATAGTACTTAGCAGTCTCAGTTACCCTAACTTCTTCGCACAATCCTCAATATCCCACCTGGACATTAGATCACAGTTCATATTACAGGCTTCTATAAAGTGACCTCCATGGTGCATTTCCATTTTAAATAACTCAAATTTATCTGTACAAGATAAGTGATCAAAGTTTAAGCAATCGGTAAAATGGCAAATCAAATGAACATTCCCTACTTAGATACAAAGTAAGCATCAGAATACAAGTGCATGGACACGAAGATAGGTCTCAGTACTTTAAATTTTGAGATTTAGAGTGTTCAAGTCACAATCACCAACTTTCAATGAACGCCATTTATATGTCTAAAATAAAAAAAATAAAATTAAAAACTCTCAAATTCTCGATTCGATACATAAAATGTTAAACAGGAGACCTTGTCCCAATCCAATCCGCCCTCTGTAAACAAACCAAATTATGTTGATTTATGTTATCTTTTATTTGAGATATAGATGGGAATACTTTGTATCCTAGTAGGACTCTTTGTAATCCAATATATTTATACGCTGTCAATGAATGAATATGAGCTACGGCTTCTACAATTCAATTTCCCTGTTACAGATTTTCTACATAAAAGCATTAAACAAAACACATGAAGACATTAATATAAAACAAGTAGTCGACATTCTACGGGAAATCTATGCGTTGCAGATTCCCATATGATCAGAGAGGTCGACTTATCTTGGAGGTAATGCTAATCAAAATATGCCACTAACCACCAGTCTCATCTCTCTAATTCCACCATGCTTTTTATAGTGTTGCCCTTGATCACATATGATGGTGGCATGCTCTCCATTGTTGGAAGTCTTTAACTTCTTTTTCATTTTGCTTGATAGTCATTTATACCTTGGAAAGCAATAAATATGCCGTGATGAAAACAAGCACACAAAAAAGCATAACATTGATTTGGTGGTTTTTATAAGCTCAGGATGTTTTCTATATCGAAGATTGATTTTTCTGTCTTAACCATTTGCTAGATAGGAAAATTGCCCGATAGTTCCCGCTTAAATCATGCTCTCTCTCTCTCTCTCTCTCTCTCTCTCAATCTAAAATAGAGACATGATTCAAAATTAACATCACAAATATTGTTGATGCCACATCTTTTGTTGAGAAGTCATGAAACAAAAGACATGTTGCTAAGATCCTGAAAGATTGAAAAAAGTTATTTCTATATGATTATATCAGTTTTAACATTACCCACTACCCAATATTTGAACAGTCAATGCTTGGAGGCTTATGTCAATCTCTAACAATTGTTCGAATTATTGTATCCAAGTATGCATTATACATTCAATTGAGCCAATGAAGCATGTGTGCCAACGAATTTTGAAGAGTTCGGCTTGGTTTTCTCTCTTTGATCTTTAATATTTAAGTGTGAGGCACCTGTTTGTTGACTAATTGAGTCCCTTCTCTAAGTTTTTAGTAGATATTGTGTAATTTGCTTTTATGAGCACTTCTTTAAGCTGTCAAGTTCCCAAAATGTACAAGGAGATATCAAGTTTAACAAGTCACGAACTATGATCAATCCAAATGCAGTGAAATTAGGGATTTTACACTTAAAAACTTAGTTAGCTTTAGACCATAGGAGTAAGATTTTGCACATGTGATTATCATTGACCATCTCATTTTATTTTTCTGGATAAGAAACAAACTGTCATTGAAGGGAGAAGAAAGTGTACAAAAACAAAGTTTCTGTAAGCTTGCTGCCATTTGAAAATTCTGGTAATTACTCTAAACCCCCAAAATATTTGAAAATTCTGGTAATTGTTCTCATTGTTTTTGACAATTTGTATAAATTGCTGCCATTTGTACAAATTAAGGTTTCTTATTTCACTTGTTTGCAGGAAGCTATTAATTCTGCTTCATCGGTGACTCAAACCTTAAGCGGAGAAGTGGCTGACGGTCAACGTAAGCTCATAGCCCTTGCAGCTGCACGAGGAAACTCAAGTGCAGTAAATCCTCTGGTCACACAACTCACTAATGGACCTTTGGGTGGTCTTCATGAGAAGGTTTGTTGGATCTTAAATATGTGGAATATGTGGATATGTAACTCCAAATGTTCAATTTTATCAAATGAGTGTTGGTAGGTTGGCTATTTTAATCATGAAAAGCAATTTATTTTAGTTGAGCAAACATTATGCATGGACTTGGAACTTCTTCCCTTGAATTGTAGTTGGAAGGGTGTATGATAAATTTAGTGGGATTTGAGCATAAGCCGGTTGCCAGCCCAATACAACTGATCACATCCTGCAAGATTAATTTATCCACATTGGAGAATTTCTCATTATGCAATTCTACTGCATTTTTTTGTCAAATTTAAATTTAAATATAAATTTTAAAATTTTGGTTTTGATTATGCAGGTCGTGGATTCCGTGCTGCTGCAGTATATTTAAATGCTGCTGTCCTCCACTGTTTGAGCCTGGGCCTCCGCCACTACCATAGTGGTATATTTTCTTAGGAGCCTACTTTGCATGAATTATTTTGTGTAATTGGTTGACTTAAATCTTTATTTGATCTAACTATTCCAATTTGGCTAATTTGTTTTTTAATTTTTTATTATATTGGAGTTGAATTTGGTATTTTGGGTATGCTATCTTTGGATGCTTAGAAAGATAGTAATTTACTTTTGTCTTTGATTTTTCACTAATGGCTAATGGGATGTTGTGATGGGGTTTAGTAATTTTCAGTATTCTTCAATTATTTTGAATTTGCAAAATCAAATAACTCATGGAAATAAATTATTATTTCATTAATCTGTATGTAAGAGGACTTTACAATATGTCATCAAGTTTAGACCGACAACAATGAATGGCAAACTTAGGATTAATGCCTCTATTAATTTGATGTTTTCTCATGGTCGAGAAATATATATACAGCTGTCTTATTTATTGGACAACATCATTCATCCTCTATATTTAATATTAATTGCTTTTCTTAATCTATTTTTCCGTCAATCTTTTCTGCTACATAATCTCATTTGGTTTTCGATTTTGTGAAATGTTTTGGAGGCGGGAGTGTGTGAAGTGTGTGTTGATGCTGAGGATAATGCTGAATTTGGTGACACTCCTCAACTAGCAGAGCAGGTAACAGAGCTTCTTCCAACTCAAATTTAATGATTGAAGCTGCCTAAGATTTGCGTAACATTCCCAAGTTGTAGTCGATGTGTGCCTGAGTGGTTGAGTGCTTGACTAATGAATGTAACCACTAAGATTTGGATTGTTTTTTTGTTTTTGGGGGGGGGGGTAAGAAATAACATTGCTAATTTCGGATTTATGGGTTTGAATTTTTAGTTCATTTTGCTTATTAGTTTATCTTACTTCTTTGAACCAAATGCAAATTCCAATCTTGCATTGTTAAGCCCTGAAATTAGAACAAAAAAACCTGCATGAAATTGAAGTTTTCTCTGATTGAGAACTCATTTTTCTTCTACTTGAAGTTTTCTCTGATTTATTTCTGAATAATTTAGAAATGGGTATGTTAAATTGTGGGTTACGATTTCAAAACCCGTGGTGGAGCGCGGGCATTTTTTCTAGTATGAAACTTATTTTGCACAACCATTAACAAATTGTTTGTACCTTTACGCAATCTCCATTAGAAAAGCCACAAGTTTCTCAACCAAGCAAATTGGCATCATAATACCCAACGGGTGCAAATTAGCCTTTTCTCATTTTTTTTATTTTCTTTTGAAAAACACCAAGGAGCAGGTAGCTAGCACCATCACTGTGTCTGTCCAAACATCAAATGCCCCTTTCTTTCTTTTTCTTCTGCAAAACGGCCGAAGTACCCAGATTCTTCCTTTCTATAATGAGCTTGCTAAAGACCAACTACCACACCAACTAACTTAACTACCTCTTATATTATTAGGGTGATTTTTAGTCACCACCCTCAAGTGGTGGTAATGCTTACCACCTTATTTATTACTGTTGGATGAGTTTAAATTTTGAGATTTGTGTCTGGGATTAAACTCATATAACGGTGATAAATAAAGTAATGAACATCACCATTATTTGAGTGTGGAGAACAAGAATATTCCTATAATATTGTACGCAAAAGGGGTAAGTTTCCTAATTGCAAAAGCAAAATAGAGACGTAATAATTAAAGGGTTTTTAAGCTCTTAATTAATGGTATTTAATTTGCTTGGTAACGAGAATTATTTGGGAGTCAGTCACCTACAGCATGCATGCAAATTGGAGGAGACAATTCAATAACCAAATTACACCACCGTATCCTTTGGAACTTCACTTATAGCCCCATGTTTACTTGGAAGACATGAAAATTATGAACAAAATTGATTTTTCTCCTAACCATGCCAATTGGGTTGCGATAAATTTATAACTCAATCAAGTTTATTTGCTCTGATAATTAATATTTGGGTAACAATTTATGATGAGATTCATTAAATACTAACAATTAGTGGGTGATATTAATTGGAGTGTTAAAGATAGGACACAGCTACAAGTCACATTATCGTGACGTATCTTTGTTCTAAAAACAATTTTGTTAGTATCCTACTGATTGCCCAAAAAATAAATCTCTTTCAATTGTAATAAATCTAAAGGGAATTTTAACGAAAAGCACCCGGTACAGTTCACTTTAACGAAAAACCACATTTTTACACTAAAAAGTCAATTCTGGTACTATTCACTTTACCCTTTATTTTGTCCTTATCATTAAAACTCAAAGTTTTCAAGCCATTTTCATTAGTTTTCCTAAATCTAAATTCAAATCCATTAATGAATGGCTAAGAATTTTCATTTTTGGTGGTTTAATAGAAACTCTTTCATGCCACTTAGTATTACGGTCTAGTGATATTCTCTTCACTTATAAATAAGAGGTCTTAGGTTCGATTCTCGCCAAAGACGAATTTGAACAACATTATTGTTAGCCAATTGTGAGGCTAAGTCTATCTCCTTCTCCTTAGTGTAGATAATATCATTTGTTCAAAAAATAAAAATAAAAACCCTTTCGTTGTCAAGATTGGTAGAACGACTGCTGAAACCACTGGATTAGAAGTCAGAATGCACATGGAAAACTATTAATAGCAACATTGCTAGAAAACCTTGACTTGTCATAGCCCGTGGGCTTTAAAGTTGGGGTTAAAATTATACTAAAAATGGCTATTTGCAAACCCTATTAACCATACGGTCCATACCAACCAACTTCAACCCAATTCCCTTTACTTATATGGAGGAGTTCATATAAGTAACAATATGCTATTAGTCCACTTTCAATAAACATGTTCAGTTAACTTGGTGTTTAGAAGAACATAGCTTGGCTTTAGATCATAATGAACTATCGGTGTTTCACAATAGTTATGAAAATAATCCAGTGCATAATAGCAACACCAATAACAATATCTAGCCCTTGAAGAAGATTTTAAATTCTTGGATGTATTGATCTCTTACCTCTTTAATTACAAAAGGGGGATGCAACCACTCCTCTAAGCTCCTTTGGTGCTTCAACTCATAAACTAGAGCCTTGAAATCATCATCGAGAAAACATGCAGATATGACCTTGATGAGATTTTGATGCTTGATATTTCTCAAACCTTCATAGCTACAAGTACAAGCCGAGCTCTATTGTCAGTATAAAGAACCCTTTTGTATGCAAACTCGAAACTGCCAATACCAGTCAAATTAGCTGAAGAAAACCGATCGGCGGCTTTGAGAAATTAGCATATGACACTTGCAAAGTAGAGCAAGTCCAAATACTAAAGGGATTATTAATTTCAAGCTATAAGCTAATCTTCTTTTCTTGGAGCTCTTTAGACTTGCAGTTGGGCAGCTTGAGATTAGGAATTCCCTTACAGAATCTAGTGTTGTCAACAATTGAAATAGCACTTTGATTTTCGAAAACACCTTACACCAGTCTGATAGGAAACTCAATTCACCATCTTTACAGCTACCAAGATGATTTTATTGAATGTTGAGGGTCTTGAGGTTATGAATCTTTCAAAAATTTGGAATCTGTCAAAGTGAATATTCAACAACTTCGGGAACTAGACTTCAATCGATGTAAATATTACACAAAAATACCAAGTACAAGAAGTAGTAATACACTCTTCACACAATGAACCTCATTGGTGATTATTTACATTGCAAACTTCCACATCTACTATGGTAACATAAAAGCTAGACTTACATAGGCAGTACACAAAATTTCTCTATCACAAAAGCACATAAAAAGGAGTTTCTATCCAAGAAAAGCAATCCTAATGGAATGAAGTTCAGATGCAGCATCATTGATATTCTTTAGTCGATCTATTGCGGATTCAGCAGAACAAGCAATTCCAATTCTAAATATTGAACTCAAGCACACCTCAACTTTATGAATTCTCGAATTGCATTGATTGGGATTCTCGTTCGAGCCTCCTTGAAGAAATGGTGCATCTGCAATCTTAGTAACTCTCCCAGGGAGAGCCATCTTGACAAAATTATGAAGGTTCTAGCTATCACCAAACATGTTGTCAGTGGGTCTCTTCCCTGTAAACATCTCCAACAAGAGAATGCCAAAGCTATAGACATCACCATTCGTTGACACCTCACTCCCCATGCCATACTCTACAATTCAAACATCACATTTGTGTATAAATAGTTCAGTTTGAATTTTGTAAATTAAATACTCCAAAATAAAAAAGGAAATATAATGAAGTATATATCTAACATATATATACCTGGAGCTGCATAACCAACCGTTCCTCTTATTCCAGCGGAACTTGTCTGACTTTGAATTGCTGAAACATTACTCGTTACTTGTGAGAGAAACCTTGCTATTCCAAAGTCAGAAACATGGCCAGTCAGTTTGTTGTCCAAGAGAACGTTGCTTGGCTTGAGATCACAATGAACTATTGGCGTTTCACAATGATTATGAAGATAATCTAGGGCACAAGCAACACCAATGGCAATTTCTAGCCTCTGAAGAAGACTTAACTTCTTGGGTACATGATCTCTCAACTCTTCAGTTCCAGTAGGTGGATGCAGCCACTCCTCTAAGCTCCCGTTGTCCATGAACTCATAAACTAGAGCCTTGAAATCATTACCATGAAAATCAACACTTGAACACACGGTTATAGTCTTGACGAGATTTCGGTGCCTAATATTTCTCAAAGCTTCACATTCGGCTATGAAACTCCTCGAAGCTCCATGGCGTAACAAGTTAAACACCTTCACGGCAACAAGTTGAGCTTTATCATCATCATCAAGAACTCCCTTGTACACAGACCCAAAACTACCAGCACCAATTAAATTAGCCTCTAAGAACCCGTCAGTAGCTTTGAGTAGAGTATGACACTTGCAAAATAGTGTTCCCCAAAGTGCTCAATGAAATTTCTTTCCTTTTCTTCCTTGACGAACAAAGAAAGAAATAGGAGAACACCATGGCTATTCCTAGAAGAGTAAGTCCAAATACTAAAGGGAGTATTAGTTTCAAGCTACGAGACAATCTTCGTTTCTTGGTCTCTTTAGACTTGCACTTGGGAAGATTTAAATTAGCAACAGGGCTGCACAGATTAGTGTTACCAACAACTGAAATAGCACTCGCATTTTTTGAAAACACCTCCAGTTGGTACCACTCCCCAAAATTGATTGAATGATAAGTTCAGATTATTCAGGGTTCTAAAGCCTTCTAAAAAATTTGGAATTTCACCTGAAAAATTATTGCGAGAAAGGTCTAGATCTTGAATCCCTCTCACTGAACTCATAGACAAAGGAATGGACCCGTTGAAGAAGTTTCCTTGCAAATGCAGGACTTCTAAACTCTCACAACCACCAAGGCTACTGGGGAGTTCTCCAGATAACATGTTATCAGAAACGTCCAATTCACTTAGACTTTGTAAATTCCCAACCTCCGAGGGAAGGGAACCTGTGAAGAGGTTATTAGACAAGACCAAAGCAACTGATAAGGAAGAGAGTCTAAAAACTTGTTTGGGTATTGTGCCATTAAGGAGATTATAAGAAAGATTCAACCATTGCAACCCATGGCATTCCCCTAGGCTTGAAGGAATGCTGCCCTCAAGATGATTTCTATCCAACCCAAGATATAATAACTTGGTTAAATTTCTTAAGGAAGAAGGAATATTTCCTGAAAATTCGTTCATGACAATATCTAATTTTCCAAGGTTTGAAAGCTTACCCATGTCAGAGGGGATGTTACCTGTGAACGTATTATTCCCCAAATACAACCCTTCCAAGCTCACCAGATTCCCTATCCCAGATGGGATACTTCCATATATTTGGTTATCGCCAACCCAAAACAATTCAAGTTTGGTTGAGAGATTGGATATTGACTTGGGCAATGTCCCTCCAAAACTGTTGTTGTTAATCATCAACTCTTTTAACTGCGTGGCATTGGTCAAGTCCGAGAGAAAACTTAAGTCACCATCTTTACCGCTCCCAATATTATTAAATTGAATGTTGAAAAAAAGGAGGTTATGAAGCTTTTGGAGACTCGGTACCTGTCCGATTAGGTTGTTACTCCCAACGTCAAAGAACCAAACACTTGTGACATTGAATATTGAGGGAGGAATGGACCCAGTAAGTTGGTTAGAGTCGACGTTGAAGATTTCGAGATTAGGAAGACTTTTGCCAATATCTGATGGAATACTCCCTTGAATTTGGTTAGCTGGCATGGAAAACGTAACAAGAGAAGAGAGGTTATAAATGGAGGAAGGGATGCTACCAGACAACTGATTTAACCCCAATCCCAAGAAGGTTAATTTTTTCAATTGGCCAAGAGAACTGGGGATGTTTCCCATCAAGTTATTACCAGCAAGACTTAGTCCCTGGAGAGACGAAAGGTTACCCAAGGAAGGAGGGACCTGTCCCGTTACATTATTAAATTTCAATACAAACATTTGCAGCTTCGACAGCAATCCAATTTCTGAAGGAATTTTACCCACCAACTTGTTGCGAGTGAAATTCGCATGGATAAGGTTGAAGCAATATGATATATTGTGTGGAATACTGCCACTAAACGAGTTAGCGTCTAATCGTAATACTTGCAATCTACGCAAATTCCCAATTTGTGGAGGAATTTCATGACTGAAGAAGTTGTTTTGCAGCCACAGCTCCCTTAGAAAACTTAGATTTCCAATGTTTGAGGATAGTTTCCCTACCAGATTTTGAGATTGCAGGTCCAGCTTGGTGACCCTTTGGCGATGTCGTTGACTGCACGTCACACCATGCCACATGCAAAAGTGAGTGGATTCGTTCCAGGAGCTCATCAGGTTGTAATTATGGAGATCTTGCTTTATGTGAGCTTTGATGGCAAGCAGCGCCAGCCTATCCGTCGCATTCCTTCCGAGTCCTGATTGCAGGGAGCTCCAACAGCAAACGAACACTGCACTGAAAAGCAAGTATATTAAGATCAATTTCAAAACCAAAACCCCCATTCCTGATCTGGTTAACTATATAACTAGAGAGAGAAGCAGAAAGAAAGAGAGAGGTGGGTGTTGAGTTGTGAAAGTGGTGAGTTCCATTTATTGCATGAGAAGACAATTTATAGAAGAATAGCATCATAGGAGGAACTTACACCACAGTTTCTGGTTCATGAAAAATTCAAACATGAGAAGGAAAAAGCCCAAGTAAATGATAACCATTTTGACTGCTTTTTTAGAAGACTTCACTGCACTTTCAGTGAAAAGCAAGGACCAAGATGATTAATGCACCTTTATCCCAGAAGCTGAGTGGAAACAATTTGGCAACCATCCATAATATCCTTATAATGCTTGGTGATTCGTTCCACCATGCCACAGTTTCTGGTTCTTGAAAATTCAAATATGAGAAGGATTAAGTCCAAGTAAATGATAACAAGTAACAACTTTGGCTTGTTTCTTTAGACGACATCGTTACCATACTTCCACTACTGGGACCTATTGTTTGGCACTTTCGGTACGCCAAGGACCAAGACCATTAAAGCACCTTGACTTCAGAAGCTGACAGGAAACATTTTTGGCAACCATACATAATAGCATTATCATCCATAATTCATTTTAGCAATCATCCAAAACGGAAAAACAAATACATGGAACCCAATATTTTCTCACATAAGACGTTACGTTGGTGTCACCTAATATGAAAGTTACCTTAGCAGGGCTACCCTAGCTATGAATGGAAATTTTGAAGTCTTTACGTTTTCTGAGGGGTCAGACTGTGAGATTGCTAATTTTTTCATAGTTCCCGTAAAGTATCATTGCAAGAAAGCTTGTTGAGGATGCAACCTTTTTAAAAATTGAGTTTTAACGAAACACTCCAGGTCCTGTTCACTTTTAACAAAAAACCACACTTTTACTTTCTCTGGTACTATTCACTATACCTTTAAAAAAGATTTTTCATTAAAAGGGAAGTTTTTTTTAGACTTTTCGTTAGTTTTCCTTTTTAAAAATGGTAACAATTACTAGTGAGATCAAGTTTTCTTAATTTTTAAACTTCATGGGGGCTCAAGTCTCTAGCAGGAGAATTCCACCAATGTAGACATATCCAATTATTAACGCCTCACTTCCCAAATATTGTTAGCAAATTGAGAACAAAATAGTTGAATTATGCAAAAGTTTAAAAGAAAAAAAAAAGAGATTGTGGAGAGGATGCGAATATTTACCTAAAACCACATAACCAATTGTTCCTATTATTCTGGCGGAACTTGTCTGTTTTGTTGAAGCTTTTATATTGTTCAGTTGTGAGAGAAACCTTGCTAGTCAAAGTCAGAAACATGTCCAGTACTCGACTTGTTGTACAAAAGAACAGTACTTGGCTTTAGATCACAATAAACTATTGGTGTTTCACAGTGATTATGAAGATAATCAACTAATCAAGAGCACAAGCAACATCAATGGCAATGCTAAGCCTTTGCAAAAGATTTAAACTCTTGGGTGCCTCTCTTGCTTCTTCAATATCAGTTGGTGGATACAGTCACTTCTCTAAGCTTCCTTTTTACATGTACTCATAAACCAAAGCCTTGAAATCATTACCAAGAGAATCAACACTTGAACATGCAATTATAATCTTGACGAGATTTCGATGCTTGATATTTCTCAAAGCCTCACATCCAGATATAAAACACTTTGCTGCTCCATGGCGTAACAAGTTAAACACCTTTACGGCGGTAACCAATTGAGCTCTATCATCAACATCGAGAACTCCCTTGTACACAACCCCCAAAACTTCCAGCACCAATCAAATTAGCCTCAGATTACCCATCAGTAGCTCTTAGCAGAGTATCATATGAAACTTCCAAATAAGAGTTTGTTATTGTACTTGACGAAATTTCTTTCCTTTCCTTTCTTGACGAACAAAGAAAGAAATATGACAAAACACTTTAAAGTTTCATATGCTAAGTTTCGAAATGATCCTCCCTTATTGTAAAATTGTCCATTTCTGTGTCACCCTTTAAAGTCCAACTTTGCCAAAAAACCAAAGTAATTCATACTTGTTTTTTCATCTAATTGTTATCTAATAAATAAATGAACTATGTTTTTCAGTTAAATACTGAAATTTTGACAATGTTTATTAAATGGTTAAACGATTTTTATTTAGTTGATTTTTTTTCAAAGTTGGTCTCTAGAGGATGAACTAGAAACTATACATATGTCCGATCATCTTGCAACATTGCAGAATGAGAGCGAGAGCCGAGAAGGTAGAGCACAAAGGTCCGATTGAGAGGATATGTAACATCCCACATTCGACAAACTTAGCTATGGTGAGTAAATTGCGTGTTTGAGTAGTTCTATATGGCGAATAAATTTCATAGTTATCGGTATGGGTTTCAACTGTTATGAATTGTAGAAAAGAGGTACAAAGGCAGTAAAAGAATGAAAAAAATAATGACAATTAGAATCATTGCTTGGTGAATGCACATGACTATTTTACCCAACAAAAAACAAAAGAAAGAGAAAGAATACTTACAACAAGAATCAAGCATATCAATCAACATTCTATCAACTCTGAAATCTGTACATGTATGGTCAACTGCAAAGCTCAGCATATCGTTGCTGAGTCCGGGAGGGGCTAGGATCTGACAATGAATATGTTCCATTTCTACCATTGCTTACGCACGTTAAGTTCAGCTGATTCCCTATCTGGCTCGACTGCAAGATTGGTGCATATATGCATATAAAGAACAATATGTCAATACAAAGTACAAAACCAATTTATAGTATGAACAAAGTACGTTGCAGAAGCAATTTCCTGACACAGAATTTCGCGAGTCAATTCTTAAATTACGTTTCTTTAAGGCATTAGACTAAACGGCATGCCAAACTAGAACGACTGAATGCAACCATGATCATATTAATAAGCAAGCACTTCTGTCTATCAAATATTAAGGAGGAAGTTAATATGCGCAGAAAAGTACAGCATATTATCAGGCAATAAATATTTTGTGACTTGCAATTCCATTTTGATGTAGAGACACAGCTCAAATAATGACACCAAGAACAATGGTTGTTTAGATTGACCCCTCGAAAATGAGTAACCAAGCCAAGAGTATACCTGTCAAAAACATGACTTTTGTCAGAAAATGCCTAAATATACGGATACTACGCAAATACGAGGAAAATGAACCTTTGTTTCCAATAACAAAACAACAAACTACTGCCAACACATGCAATCCAAAACAGCAAAGTAGAAGCCGCTATCAACAAAGTGATCAATTAGTATCGCACAGAGAATAGCGATAACACAATGCGTTCTCCAAACCATTCTGATGAGAAACAAGCTGATACAGAGCCTAATCGCAATGAAAATATTACAGGACACATGATATCTACATATCTACACAAAATCCAGTTCTCTGATTTGATCAAAAAAAAATGTGCACACGTCAACTGTGGCTACCAGATTCTCATGTAGGGAGTCGATTAGGTTCATGAAGTCAAACAGTTAAATCAAAGATCGAGGAGGAGTTTACCCAACAATCAATAGTATCAAAGAGAGGACCCACAATACATATTGACACGTCTTGTGTTTAGATTTAACTGGAGTAGTAACACGTCCAGGGGGAGCATTCTGTTGGGTAAGCCATTTAAACTGGGGGCGGATCAAAAACAAAAATCCAAGATATGATGATGAAAAGAAGAGTAAGCAATGCTGCTAACTGCGGATCGAAATCTGAAACTGTAAGATCAAAGGGTCATGCGCATACTATAAAGAGGTGCATCATTGAGTATAAGGAATTTTATTTACATTATTTACATACATTGTCCAATTTGATGTGAGCTCTGAAAGCATGCTTCCTAGTAAACCAAAAAGTGCATCAGAAGCACCAACAGAAATACCATATTGAATAAAAAGAGCTGAAAGCAAACTCCCACCAAAACCAGACATGAGATATAGGAAACCAATTCGAAAAAAAAAAATTAGAATTTCAAACCAATTAGTTAAAACAGTTCATCAAAACAACTGTACATGATGTAGATCAGCATCAAACTATTATTTTTTCAATCTTTTCAAATAGACGGCATCTTGAAACATTGCAAAATGAGGCGCCATGTCTACATGTACAGGATATCCAAAACAATCTTTTTCTTCCCACAGATGTGATGGAAAACTGAAATAATCTCTCAACTTCTGTTTCAAGCAATTTTATTCTGTAAAATGGAATACTATGTCTAAAACTAAAGTTTGAACCCCATCTTTGGTGTATAAACTCTTTTCTTTGCCCACCGCTGAATAAAACGTCCTCTTGTTTCCATCAAACGAAACAACATACCGGTGTAAGTTATAATGCAACCAGCACTACATGACCACTACTCTAGGATTACAATTCAATAAACAAATGCATAGAAATCCTCTGTAGATTAATCGCAAGGTAGCTAAAGCCATCCGGAAAGTGTTTCTCTTCTAGATTTATGAAAGAAGTTTTGCACTTGGTAACTAATTTATTATTCTACAACTTATGTCGTGTGCTTTATCTTTTACTACATGAAGCTAAAAATCCAGATGCATACCAAATCCAAATTCTTGCTCAAGCCGAATTCCAATGAATAAAAGACTCAGCATATTGGCAAGCACATGGAAAACTCCAGCATGTAATCACATACATGAGATCAGCCGCCATCCCTGGTGTTGATGAACCACTCACTGCGCGTCTAGAGCACCCATCTTTTCTAACCTTCATGATGAAAACACATGAGAAACAAGTTAGATATGCAACTGAGACCTATTGACCCTTACGGGGCATGTCTATAGCTCTTATTTCCAAAGAGATGATAGCTCCCTCGCCCTTGTAGTGCTAGTTTTAGTAGTTATAGACTTTGGATTATGCATACTGAAATAAGCACATTAAACAGCTTAAAAGAATGACAAACAAGTCCCTTAAGAATGCATACCCGCTCTTACAAGAGATATTAAGACAAAACAATTTCATTTTTCCATGATCATTCTACCATTGGCCTCACAGACCAAGGAAAGTCGAACGAAAACGAAAATTTTGAAACCAAGTCGCTAAAGAACACTAATGTATAACTTTAACCCTATAACATACTACAGGGGACATTTTGTTTGACATAGCAATCTAATCAAACCAAGTAGTTACCTACTGCAGCTCTTCGAGCACCTTGCTTCTTTGTTCGAGCATTTCCTATCCGCCGACATCAAATAGACATCAAGCATTGCCTGAATGTCACTAAATACCTAAAACCCTCATTACCCCTCAAGCTCCTTTAAGTTTCTTAACTAATCGTAGATTCGCTTCTATATTCACTAGGTTTCCCAAGTCCAACATTGATTAAAAGCAGAATTACATCAAGCTTCATGCAGTTCAACTTTTTCTTTACACATATAA